TTTACTCCTGTTTCTTTTAAAGCACCACATCTTGTCAGTGTTGTATCGTTTGCTTTGCTTTGTCAATCTGGGCTCTGATCCTCGTATTTCCCTCGGGTTTGTTTAAGTCACTTGTCTTGTCTTTCTTCACACACATGAACTTTTCAGTCGATGACATGGTGTTGGTTGCTGTGGTGATAGAATGTTCCGCTGCGACAAACAGAATGACATCGCCATGTTCTGTTGCCATGGTGATTCAATGTCATGTTCGAGAAAAGTCTAAAAGAAAATAATGAAATGCATCTTTTGAAACAAATGGATGTATTTCACTGAATAAGCAATGTTCAGGGGGAGAAGTCTTTTTATTTTTGGTGATAGAATTTGTATGTCATGGGCCAACTTCAAATCTCCAACGCAAAGTCAAAATATTTATTAGACATTGTTTTGCTTTGCGTTAAAGGTGATATTATATTAAAGGGTGTCATCCAAAGACTATACTGAAAATAAAATGCATTCATTTTTTGTATGAAGTGCAGCTGTTTCCATTGATGTGTGTTTTGTCTTGTAACTTTGTACATAACTGGTACGAAGTCAAACCACAGAGCTGGGATTATGCAGCCTCAGGAAGTGTCCATAGATGGAAGGATGGATGGATGGATAAATAGATATATAGAAGCAGAAACATATCTATCCCAAACACAAATCTTTTTGATTTATTCTTTTGATCCTCAGACTTTTGGAATAAAATTGTGGGCAATATCAAACAAGTTGATCATTAGTGTTCTAAAGTTTCTATTGGAGCTTGAGTAAAGTAGCAATCATACTGGGTAAAGACAAAACTAGCTTTGTATATGCAAACTCAAGTTCTCTGCACACATCACATCAACATCTCTCCGGCCAGACGTGAAAATCACCTCAAAGGGGCCTTTTATATTAAGGAGTTGAGGAAAAGAATACAACCAAAACACTTTTTCATTCAGTAGCATTAAACAAGATACTTCTTCCCGTGAAGATGCCGGGTGCAGGCCCGTCGGAGGGGCTGTGCGACCTGTGCCGTCGCACAGGGCCTCGCAATCTTCCTTCCTTTTTATTTTTTAATAAATACACTAGCTCAAGGGTCCCCAAAGGGCGGACTGCGCTCCAAGTTCGGACCCCTAAACCCCTTTTCTCTGTGATTTCTTTTGATCAAAAGTACATTATTATACAAGTAAAGTCAAATTTTCACCAAAAGCGATTTGTAAACAGGCAGGCATGAGGGCAGCTATGTACGCTGCGGGTCCTCCAAAACAAACTTTACGGAGCTGTCAGATAACTTTAGCAGTGTCTGGGTCTGAGTGACGAACGAAGAAAGTAACGGGAATGAGCCCAGTGAACGGAGAGATGGATACTTGCATCTTCTGTGTGAGGAGGAGGAGACAGAGGTGTGTGAGCAGAGGAGGAAGAGGAGGAGCAGCGAGACAGGTGTGTGAGCAGAGGAGGAAGAGGAGGAGCAGCGAGACAGGTGTGTGAGCGCTGTTATTGTCAATGTTGAGTCCGAATATCCACATCAGAAACATATTATAAAAGCATTAGCAAACACTGCATGCTCAGCTTTAGCGTCCACTGTGAGTGCAGTGGATTTTGGGCATAAAATCCCTTGTTGTGGTCAGTGTGTGTGGAGGAGGAGATGGAGAATGGAGGGTATGTTGTCAGTGTGTGGAGGAGGAGGAGGAGGAGCGTTTAGGTTGTGGTCAGAGTGTGTGGAGGAGGAGGCGGGGCGTATAGGTTGTCACTCAGACCTGATGTGTGTGTTGTAGGTCCTTATATCTCACTCAGAGCTGATGTGTGTGTTGTAGGTCCTTATATCTCACTCAGACCTGATGTGTGTGTTGTAGGTCCTAATATGTCACTCAGACCTGATGTGTGTGTTGTAGGTCCTTATATCTCACTCAGACCCGATGTGTGTGTTGTAGGTCCTTATATCTCACTCAGACCTGATGTGTGTCGTTGTAGGTCCTTATATCTCACTCAGACCTGATGTGTGTGTTGTAGGTCCTTATTTGTCACTCAGACCTGATGTGTGTGTTGTAGGACCTTATATGTCACTCAGACCTGATGTGTGTGTTGTAGGTCCTTATTTGTCACTCAGACCTTGAAACGCTTAAACAGCAGCCCAAAAACACATAATTGCATACAGTTCAAGCCAACAACTGTGATTCTAATGTGTATTTGAACTGATTCTGTTGGTAAAAGTGAATTTCATGCAGCAAACCACTTGAACCGCTTAAAAATGCCCAGAAACACTATGAATTGCATACATGGTCAGCCCACAACTGTGATTTCATGTAATTTGCGAACTGATTCTGTAGAAAAAGTGAATATCATGCAGCAAAACCACTTGAAACGCTTAAAACAAGCCATAAACATCAAGAATTGCCTACAGGGCAAGCCAACACCTGTGATCATGTATTTGAACTGATTCTGTTTGTAAAAGTGAATTTCCATGCAAGCACACCACTTGAAAACTCTTAAAACAGGCCAGAAACATCAAAATTGCATACTGGTCAGCCCAACAACAGTGATTCTATTATTTTGAACATGATTCTTTTGTAAAAGTGAATTCCATGTGCAGCAAACCACGTGAAACACTTCAAAACAGGCCAGACACATCATGAATTGGCATACGCCAGCCAACAACGTGTGTTTCTATGTATTTGAACTGATTCTGGTTGTAAAAGTAGAATTTACATGCAGCAAACCACTATGAAACCTTAAAACAGGCCAAAACATCTGAAATGCCTACTGTCACCAAACACCTGTGATTTTTATGTATTTGAACTGATTCTGTTAGTAAAAGTTGAATTTCCAAGCAGCAAACCACTTGAAACGCAAAAACCGGCCCGAAACATCATGAAATTGCATACTGGTCAGCCAACAATCTGTGATTCTATGTATTTGAACTGATTCGTGTAAAAGTGGAATTATCCGCAGCAAACCACTTGACACGCTTACAAAAACAGGCCAAAAAACATCAAGACTGCATACTGGCCGCCAATCGACGTGATTCTATGATTTGAACTGATTCAGTTGTAACATTGAATTTCATGCAGCAAACCAATTGAAACCTTAAAACAGTCCAAACCATACATGATTTGCAAACTGGCAGCCACCGCTGTGGAATCTATGTATTTGAACTGATTCTGTTGTTAAAATGTGAAATTCATTGCAGTCAAACCAACCTTGAAACGCTTAAAACAGGCCAGGAAACATCATGAATTGGCATGACTGGCAGCCAACAACAGTGGATTCTATGTATTTGAACTGATACTGTTGTAAAAGTGGAATTCCATGCAGCAACCCACTTGAAACGCATAAAAACAGGCCAGAAACATCATGAGATCTGCAATACGGCCCACCAACAACTGGTGATTCTATAGTATTTGGAACTGATTCTGTTTAAAAGTGAATTTTTCATCATCCACCACTATGAAAACGCTTAAAACAGGCCAGAAACATCATGAATCGCATACAGGCATGCCAACAACTGAGAATTTATGGCATTTGAACTGAATCTGTTGTAAAAGTGAAGTTCATGCAGCACCACTTGAAAGCTTAAAAAAAACAGGCCAGAAACATCAAGAAATGCATACTGGTCAGCCAACTACCTTTATTCAATTATATTGAACATGAATTTCAGTTGTAAAATTGTAATAAATCATGCAGCAAACCCCACTTAAACGCTGTAACCAGGCCCAGAAAAATCATGAAGTTGCATACTGGCGCCAACAACGTGATTCTATGAATATGAACTTAAATTCTTGTTGTAAAAAAGTGAATTCATGCAGCAAACCACTTGGAAACGCTTAAAATCCAGGCCAGAAACATCATGAATTGCATACTGGCAAGTGCCAAACAACTTTATTCAATGTATTTGAACTGAGGATTCCCTGTTGTAAAAGTGAATTTCATGCAGCAACAAACCCACTTGAAACCGCCTTTTTAAAACAGGCCCATGAAACACAAATGAATTGCATACTTGCAGCCAACAACTGTGATATCTAATGTATTTGAACTGTATTCTGTTGTAAAAGTGAATTTCATGCAGCAAACCACATGAAAACGCTTAACAAACAGGCCAGAAACATCATGAAGCTTGCGAATACTGGCAAGCCGAACACCATGTGATTCTAAGTATTGAAACAGAATCTGTTGTAAAAGAGAATTTCATGCCGCAAACCACTGAAACGCTTAAAACATGCCAGAAGACATCATGACAGTTCGTTGATCTCAAGAGTGTGTGTCTGTGACCTCGGAGGGTGGGGGGTCGGCGTGCGGGTGTGCCACAACGGAGTGAGACGGAGACGTGATTGTGGGGATACTACTATACATATTGACAGGGGCGGGTGTCGGTCTGGTTCGAGGGATCAGTGGGTGATTTTGTGAATCTGGTGTTCTGGATGGTTGAATATCACACAGAGGGTCATGGCACAAACCACTTTGAAACCCGCTTAAAAACCGGCCAAAAACATCAAGAATTGCATACGGCAGCCCAAGGACGACACTGTGAATGGAATTGAGTGGGGGGAGCTGCCTAGTAGGTAGAGTGTGGGGGGCGGAGGAGTGTTGGGAGTGGGATGTCAGACTGATTCTGTTTTGTAAAAGTGAATTTCCATGCGCCAACCCAAATGAAACGCTTAAAACAGCCAGAAACAACACGACGTTATGCTTGTCAGAGGGTATGGCATACTGGCACCAACAACTGGTGATTCTATGTATTTGAACGTGTGCTGATGGGTTGGAGGGGTGGGGGGAGTGGGGGGGGGTGGGGGGGGGGGGGGGGTGCATGGGGGTGGTGGGGGGGTTTTGGGTTGAGGGGTGGGGGGGGGGGGGGGGGGGGGTGTGTGGATAGAGGGAGGACGTTGGGGTGATTGGTGGGGGGGGGGGTGGGGTGGGGGGGTGGGGACGGGCAGGGGTGGGGGGGGGTAGGATGGGGATAGGGGAAGGGAGGGGGGGGTGGGGGGGGGGGGGGGGGGGGGGGGCATATGGGGGGGGGGGGGGGGTGGTGTAGAGAGGGAGGGGGGGGGTGGGGGAGGGCTGGAGGGGGGGCGTGGGGGGGGTGGGGGGGGGGGGGTGTGGTAGTGTGGGGAGAGGCTGGGGGGAGAGGGCGGAGGGGGGGGGGGGGGGGGATGGGAGTGGGTTTATAGTAGGTTGGTATTGGGGGGGGGATGTAGTGGGGGGGGTGGGGGAGGGGATGGGGGGGTGGGGGGGAGATTATAGGAAGAGTGGATGGCGGTGTAGGGTTTTGGGTATGTGTTGGGGTGGTAGGTGTGGGGTATCTATGGGGGGGGGGGGTGGGGGGGTATGGGGGGGGGTGGGGGGGGGTGGTGGTTGGGGGGGGGGGGGGGGGGGGGGGGGGGGGGGGGGGGGGGGGGATTTGGGATGGAAGGATTTAATAGGTTTAAGGTTTTTATATGGAATGATAATTATGGTTGTATGTATGATGAATTATAAATGGGTGGATTTGGGTGGGGGGTGGTATATATGATGTATGGTTGGGTAAAGTGGTTTTGATTGAAGATAATAATATTGGAATCGCTTATAAACAGGACAGAAAATTATGAATTGCAAAGTACGCAACTACATAATGTGGAGTCCTATGTAATTTGGAACGATTCTGTTGTAAAGGAATTCCCATGCGCAAAAACCACATGAAAACTGCTTAAAAACAGGCCAAAACATCATGGAATTGGGGCATACTGCAGCCACAACTGTGATTCTATGTATTGGAACTGATTCTGTTGTAAAAAGGTGAATTTCATGCAGCAACACGTGAAACGCTTCAAAACAGCCTGAAACAGCAGAATCATGAATGCCTACTGGCAGCCAACAACTGGTGATTTTATGTATTGTCACTCAGGCTGGTTTACACGTTCGGAGTGGCGGGTGAAGATGTAAAAGTGAATTAGTCCATGCAGCAAAGTCCCGCAGAGTGAAACGCTTAAAACAGGCCAAAACATCATGACTGTGCATACTAGGCAGCCAACAACTGTGATCTAATGTATTGTTGGCGGAAGGGATGGTTGACAAAATCTGCATATTGAATAACCCAATGGGTGGGTTTGAGCTTTCTAGTGAGGGGTGACGGCGTGGGGGGGTTCTGGGCATGGGGGGGGGTGCGGGGGGAGGGGGGGGGGGGGGTTGTGTGGGGGGGGGGGGGGGCGGGGGGGAGGGGGGGGGATTTTGCGTAAAAGGTATCGCTAAATCAGGGGGTGTGAGGGGTGCCGAAGGAGGTGAGTGGACTGACCACTTGAAACGCTTAAAACAGGCCAGAAACATCATGAATTGCAATACTGGCAAAGCCAACAACTGAAGATGATTCTATGTATTTGAACTGATGAATCTGTGTGAATTTAAGTGAATTTCAAAAGTGAATCATGCAGCAAACCACTTGAAACGCTTAAAACAGGCCAGAAACATCATGAATTGCATACTGGGCATCCAACAACTGTGATTCGATGTATTTGAACTGATTCTGTTGTAAAAAGTGAATTTCATGCAGCAAAACCACTTGAAACGCTTAAAACAGGCCAGAAACATCATGAATTGCATACTGGCAGCCAACCAACTGTGATTCTATGTATTTGAACTGATTCTGTTTGTAAAAGTGAAATTCATGCAGCAAACCACTTGAAACGCTTAAAACAGGCCAGAAACATCATGAATTGCATACTGGCAGCCAACAACTGTGATTCTATGTATTTGAACTGATTCTGTTGAAAAAGTGAATTTCATGCAGCAAACCACTTGAAACGCCTTAAAACTGGCAGAAACATCATGAATTGCATACTGGCAGCCAACAACTGTGATTCTATGTATTTGAACTGATTCAGTTGGTAAAAGTGAAATTTCATGCATCAAACCACTTGAACCGCGTAAAAACAGGGCCAGAAACATCATGAATTGCATACTGGCATCCAACACCTGTGATTACTATGTATTTTTGGAACTGATTATCTGTTGAATCAGTGAATTGCATGCAGCAAACACTTGAACCTTAAACAGGCCAAAACATCATGAATGCAACTAGGCAGCCATCGACTGTGAATCTATGTATTTGAACTGATTCTGATGTAAAAGTGAAAATCATGCAGGCAAACCACTTGTAAACGCTTTCTTGGGGGGGGGGGGGTTCTTCTGCAGATTTCTTGTCGTCTTATTTTTGCTGGAGGGGCCCGAGAAAGGAGTGGGTGAGAGGACGGTGGTGGGTGGGGGGGGGGGTGTGTGGGTTGATGTCGGGGAGGGGGGGGGGGGTGTATAGAAGAAGTGCAGTCGGTTCGTGGGGGGGGGGGGGGGGGTTGTGGTGTGTAGTCGTGAGTCTATAGCTGCTGTTGTTGCTTGTGGTTTGTGTGGTGATATTTCTTATTGTTCTGGGGGGGATGTTGTTGAATTATAAGTACATACATGAGCTACTGACGATCGTGTATGAGATTGGTAGGTGGGCTGCGGAGCAATCAAGGGACATGCTCATCGGTCGTTGTAAAAGGTGAATGTGCATGCTATGGCAAACCACGGGGATTGGGGTGTGCTTCGAGTGCGTGCGTGTTTAACCGGCAGGGGGGGAGAGGGGGGGGGGGGGAATGGGGGGGGGGGGGGTGGGGGGGGGGGGGGGGGTGGGGGGGGGGGGGGTGGGGGGGGGGGGGGGGGGGATAGGGGGGTGGGGGGGGGTAATAATGGGGGTGGGGGGGGGGGGGGGAGGGGTGGGGTTTGTGTGGGGGGAGTTACAGGGGGGGGGAGGGAGAGGGATTGTCAGGGGGGGGGGGGGGGGGGGGGGGGGGGGAGAAGGGGTCTGGTTTAGTATCCCATATTGTGGGTAGGACTGTGAACTGTTTATGTTGGTAAATAATGGGGAACGTGACGATACACACACACTAAGAGAGTCGATGCATATACTCGTGCAAACGCTTAAAAACAGGCCAGAAAAATCAATGATTGCAGTTCTGGCCGGGGGGATCCTCTCTCTTGAGAAGGATCATCTGTATCGGGGGAGTGAGTCTATGGTATTGTGAACTGGGATTCGTACAGCAGATGGGGTAAAAGTGTAGGGGTTTCATGCAGCAAACCACTGATGGAGTGTACTACTAGAGGCGAGTGTAAAACAGGCCAGAAAACATCATTAATTGCATCTACTGGGCAGGCAACTGGACTGTGTTTTAATGGTAGTTTGATCTAGGTCCCATAAGTGAGAGTGGGCGTGTTGGTAATTGGTGAATTCATGGGTGGTGGGGGGGCTCGTTGGGGCGTAGACATACACATAGCGGGAGGCTTGAAGGGTACTGGGCGCTTAACTCAGGCCAGAAACATCATGAATGCTTTCTGCAGCCAATCAACTGTGAAGACTATGATAATGGAACGATCCGGTGAGATATGAGATGGAGGAAGTGAATTTCAATATGCAGCAAACCACTTGAAACGGCTTAAAACATGGACAGAAAAAGCGATGAATTGCATAATGGCACCAACGTACTGTGTATTGACTTGACGGGTGGATTGGAAACTGATTCTGTTTGTAAAAATGAATTTTCATGCAGCATACCACATGAAACGCTTAAAACTGGCCAGAAACATCATGAAATTGCAATACTGGCAGCCTACACCTGGGGATTCTATGATATTTGGAACGGATTCTGTTTGTTAAATCGTATATAATGAGGAGTTCCAGAGGGGGGAGGGGCAGGGATATAGAGTCTGGGAGACGGGCGCAGCTTGAAACGCTTAAGGGCGGCGGCGATGGGGCCAAAACATCATGAATTGCTGGCCTGTTTGAAAGCATGGCAAGCAAACCACATTTCAAGTGGTTTGCTGCATGAGCAATTTAAAAAAACACTTTTACAACAACAACGAATCAGTTCAAATACATAGAATCACACAGTTGTTGGCGGCCAGTATGCAATTCATGATGTTTCTGGCCTGTTTTAAGCGTTTCAAGTTTGGGTTTGCTGCATGGAATTCACTTTTACAACAGAATCAGTTCAAATACATAGAATCACAGTTGTTGGGATGCCAGTATGCAATTCATGATGTTTCTGGCCTGTTTTAAGCGTTTCAAGTGGTTTGCTGCATGAAATTCACTTTTACAACAGAATCAGTTCAAATACATAGAATCACAGTTGTTGGCTGCCAGTATGCAATTCATGATGTTTTCTGGCCTGTTTTAAAGCGTTTCAAGTGGTTTGCTGCATGAAATTCACTTTTACAACAGAATCAGTTCAAATACATAGAATCACAGTTGTTGGCTGCCAGTATGCAATTCATGATGTTTTCTGGCCTGTTTTAAGCGTTTCAAGTGGTTTGCTGCATGAAATTCACTTTTACAACAGAATCAGTTCAAATACATATAATCACAGTTGTTGCTGCCAGTATGCAATTCATGATGTTTCTGGCCTGTTTTTAAGCGTTTTCAAGTGTTTGCTGCATGAAATTCACTTTTACAACAGAATCAGTTCAAATACATAGAATCACAGTTGTTGGATGCCAGTATGCAATTCATGATGTTTCTGGCCTGTTTTAAGCGTTTCAAGTGGTTTGCTGCATGAATTTCACTTTTACAACAGAATCAGTTCAAATACATAGAATCACAGTTGTTGGATGCCAGTATGCAATTCATGATGTTTCTGCCTGTTTTAAGCGTTTCAAGTGGTTTGCTGCATGAATTCACTTTTACAACAGAATCAGTTCAAATACATAGAATCACAGTTGTTGGATGCCAGTATGCAATTCATGATGTTTCTGGCCTGTTTTAAGCGTTTCAAGTGGTTTGCTGCATGAATTCACTTTTACAACAGAATCAGTTCAAATACATAGAATCACAGTTGTTGGATGCCAGTATGCAATTCATGATGTTTCTGGCCTGTTTTAAGCGTTTCAAGTGGTTTGCTGCATGAAATTCACTTTTACAACAGAATCAGTTCAAATACATAGAATCACAGTCGTTGGCTGCCAGTATGCAATTCATGATGTTTCTGGCCTGTTTTTAAGCGTTTCAAGTGGTTTGCTGCATGAATTTCACTTTTACAACAGAATCAGTTCAAATACATAGAATCACAGTTGTTGGATGCCAGTATGCAATTCATGATGTTTCTGGCCTGTTTTAAGCGTTTCAAGTGGTTTGCTGCATGAAATTTCACTTTTACAACAGAATCAGTTCAAATACATAGAATCACAGTTGTTGGATGCCAGTATGCAATTCATGATGTTTCTGGCCTGTTTTAAGCGTTTCAAGTGGTTTGCTGCATGAATTTCACTTTTACAACAGAATCAGTTCAAATACATAGAATCACAGTTGTTGGATGCCAGTATGCAATTCATGATGTTTCTGGCCTGTTTTAAGCGTTTCAAGTGGTTTGCTGCATGAATTTCACTTTTACAACAGAATCAGTTCAAATACATAGAATCACAGTTGTTGGATGCCAGTATGCAATTCATGATGTTTCTGGCCTGTTTTAAGCGTTTCAAGTGGTTTGCTGCATGAAATTCACTTTTACAACAGAATCAGTTCAAATACATAGAATCACAGTTGTTGGATGCCAGTATGCAATTCATGATGTTTCTGGCCTGTTTTAAGCGTTTCAAGTGGTTTGCTGCATGAAAATTCACTTTACAACAGAATCAGTTCAAATACATAGAATCACAGTTGTTGGCTGCCAGTATGCAATTCATGATGTTTCTGGCCTGTTTTAAGCGTTTCAAGTGGTTTGCTGCATGAATTTCACTTTTACAACAGAATCATTTCAAATACATAGAATCACAGTTGTTGGATGCCAGTATGCAATTCATGATGTTTTCTGGCCTGTTTTAAGCGTTTCAAGTGGTTTGCTGCATGAAATTCACTTTTACAACAGAATCAGTTCAAATACATAGAATCACAGTTGTTGGATGCCAGTATGCAATTCATGATGTTTCTGGCCTTTTTAAGCGTTTCAAGTGGTTTGCCATGAAATTCACTTTTACAACAGAATCAGTTCAAATACATAGAATCACAGTTGTTGGCTGCCAGTATGCAATTCATGATGTTTCTGGCCTGTTTTAAGCGTTTCAAGTGGTTGCTGCATGAAATTCACTTTTACAACAGAATCAGTTCAAATACATAGAATCACAGTTGTTGGATGCCAGTATGCAATTCATGATGTTTCTGGCCTGTTTTAAGCGTTTCAAGTGGTTTGCTGCATGAAATTCACTTTTACAACAGAATCAGTTCAAATACATAGAATCACAGTTGTTGGCTGCCAGTGCAATTCATGGTTTCTGGCCTGGTTTTAAGCGTTTCAAGTGGTTTGCTGCATGAATTCACTTTTACAACAGAATCAGTTCAAATACATAGAATCACAGTTGTTGGATGCCAGTATGCAATTCATGATGTTTCTGGCCTGTTTTAAGCGTTTCAAGTGGTTTGCTGCATGAAATTCACTTTTACAACAGAATCAGTTTCAAATACATAGAATCACAGTTGTTGGCTGCCAGTATGCAATTCATGATGTTTCTGGCCTGTTTTAAGCGTTTCAAGTGGTTTGCTGCATGAAATTCACTTTTACAACAGAATCATTCAAATACATAGAATCACAGTTGTTGGATGCCAGTATGCAATTCATGATTTTCTGGCCTGTTTTAAGTTTCAAGTGGTTTGCTGCATGAAATTCACTTTTACAACAGAATCAATGCTTTGGATTAATATTGAGACTAAAAATTGTCAAATGATAAACACAATATGTCTTCTCTGATTCCAAAAATTGACCAATGGACCAACAGACAGACCAACAGATTTCAGAAATCTCGCTGTTATTTTTACACACTGTAAACATAATGAAAGCACATAGTGTATATACTCACTGGCTGTAATTAAACCCTATATTATGTGCCCAGTTATCATCAGCAGGCTCACCGTTACACGTCCATTAGAACTCCCCTTGACCTTCTAATATGGACTTGGACCGGTGCCTCGGTATGTGTATCAGCCACTCAAGGCAATTACGGCATCCACGGAGCTCTGGCAGTGGCCTGGCTGAGCTCCAGGCCCTGGGCAGAGGCAAGAGGAGGCTCTGGGCTCATAGGGCAGGGACCTCAGGGAGTAATTAGGCAGTTTTATCCCAGCGTGTTGATATAAATGTGAGCAGCTTAGCCCCCACGCCCTGGCTTTGTGGTAATGATCATGTCCAACAGGTGGAGAGTCAAACTGGACCAGCTGTAAGAGGAGACGCGGCTTCCTGGGCCGTGTTTTGCCTTTCGTCCACGATTGGGTGTTTTGTGAAATTTGGAAGGAATTGTGTGACAAGTCAACTCGAGTAAAACATTGGTGTATGGTTTCACTCTGATCTCTCTCTGGTCTCTTTCTCACTGGTCTCTTTCTTACTGGTCTCTCTCTCTCTGGTCTCTCTTGTCTCGTCTCTCTCTCTCTCTCTCTCTCTCTCTCTCTCTCTCTCTCTCTCACTCACTCACTCACTCACTCACTCACTCTCTCTCTCTCTTACTGGTCTCAACTTTCCAGTCTCTCTCCGGCCTCTCTCTCTGGTATTTATCTGGTCTCCCTCTGGCCTTTCTTTCTCTGATTTCTCCGGTCTCTATCTGATTTTTGATGAACGCACTTTAATAAAATTTTGAAAGTTAATTTCTCACAATTTGACGTCTTTCATCTTCATGTTATTTACTATATCTACAGTAAAAGCAGCATTGGCTCCTCGTCTAACACATTTGTCAGCGTTCCATCTCTGATCGGGACGTCCCGCGGGAGCAGAGGTCAAACTAAACACTGGGGAGAGAAAGTGGACTCTCTCTTGTTCCACAGATACTGGTTTGCTGTGAGTC